CTTTGAAAAGCGCGTACCAGAAAGTTGCTCAGAAAATCATAAGAAAAATATGATAAATCTTAGAAAATTATGTAGTTTCAGAATCCAAAGTTTGGGATTAAAATGCTAAGCGTAGCAATTAAAGTTAATACAGTGAGTTTAAGTGGGTTTTGGCTATAAATACACTCATTAAGTGGGCACAAAACCCTAGAACCTCATTCCTACGTGAACACCTTTGGGGGCTGATCAGTTTACACTATTCCATTGCTGACTTGGTGCTTCTTTGGCTTGTCTTCACCATTTCTTCATGAGAAACCACCAAATGATCATCTTTTCTCTTGATTCTTCCTTGTAAACACCTTGTGGTTGTGTTGGGGTTGTGTGAGAGGCTTGGTTTCTGAGTTGGTGAGTTGTTTTGGGGTGCTTTTGGTGCTGACTTTGGAGGTTGGAGTTGTTGAGCCATTGTAATGGCATTTTGAGCTCCAAGGAGCTTCCTTTGTGAAGAAAGGGCCAAGCTTTGTTGGCATTTCCGTTTTGTGTTCAAGTCAGAATCTTTGAACCTTGTTGGAGAGCTCCAAGAGCCTTCCTTGTGGCTGAGTTTGAACCTCCATTGGTATACCTTGAACTTTCCTTTGAATTTTCATGAAAATGGCTGGTTTATGTTATAAAATGAGTTAACTTTAATCTTTCAAGCTTAAGGTTGTTAATGTAAGTCTAAAATGTGGTATTGAACTTCTGTTTTGGGTCAAGACCGGACCTTGGGTCATGGGATGGCAATTTGGCTTCGGATTATGCAGAAAAAATCTGCATAATGCTGTTCTGCCCGCGTGGTAATCGATTACTTTTGATTGGTAATCGGTTACCATGTGTGGTAATCGATTACCTTGCTGGTGGTAATCGATTACCATGTGCAGTAATCGATTACCAGTACTTGGTAATCGATTACCACCTGTGAAAATGACCAGAAACCTGTTTTGTGCAAATGTGACAGCAACGACCTAGTTTAGTAAAATTGAGATATCTCGAGCTACAGAGCTCTAAATTGAGTGAGGTTTGGACCTATGTGAAGCTAACACATAGGGTTACAACTCTGTAAAATTCAGTAGCCATTGGATCAGTTATTTGATCGCAGTGTCTAGTTTATGTCGCGTTTTGGTTGCTGGAAATTCCGTTTGCAGCAGTCTCCTTGCGTAAATCATAATCGGAGTTATACAACTCCGATTGAGACATAAAGTATATCGTTGGAAATATCAAGATGTCTAGTTAAACATTGTAAATATTAGAATGTGAATATTGATATAATTGTTGGTCTAAAACAGATTGTGATTCTGCTCTGTTTGGACTTTGAGCTTGTGTGGACTCTTGGCTTGGATAGCTAGCTTAGAGGTAAGCTTTCGTGTCCTCGGTTTAGCCATGTTGTGGTTCCACCATGTCCCATGGGGATATGGTATATGCATGCTGTGTTACATGCTTTTGATGTTTTGGAAATGTTGTTGAGCTATTATATGTTAGTGCCTTGTTGATATGCATGGAGGTGTTCCACCTATACGGTAAGCCTGAGTATGTAGAACATACAAGAGGGTGAGGCTGTGGGTGAGGTGCAAGCGGTGTTCCTTGTACTACATGTAGGGAATAGACGTATTCCTACATTTCTCTGGCCAGTAGATAGTGATTACACACATGCCATAGATATCTGTTGCACTACATAGTTTTGGAACTGATAATGATATAAATGCTTTTAGAACTTATATTGCACATGTAAGTGAGCTTGGGGTGGAAGATCCTTGAGGACCCCTTGTCTTACTGAGATTTCTTGTTTAGAGATCTCACCCCACGTTTGGGGAATGCTTATTTCAGGGTCAGGTAATGTTGAGACCTCAGGCGGCGGGAGGCCGGAGCTGAGTTAGATTGCTGTTATATTATGCTGCCATGATTGGATGCTGGATTTGCATGTTGTTTATGCTTATAGCTTCAGTTATGTTTATGGAGTTTTATGTTGAGACTTGTTGTTTACTATGCTTATTTGGTTAGCATGGGGATTGTCCATGACACATAGTATTGTTATGTCTTGTTTATGTCTTGCGCCTTTTGAAGTTGTAATAATGTATCAGGATATTGTCCGGATTACGAGATGTAATACCGTGATTTAGATACACACTTTATTTATATATTGAGGTATTTCAGTAGATGTCTTATTGCAATTTACATACAGGCGATATTTTATGAAATTGATTAAGTAATCAAGTTGGTAATTGATAATGATGTCATAATTGAAAAGAAAAAGTATATTCCGCAATTTTTAATTAAGCACCGCTTAATACGATGTAATGTTAATATTCCGAGTATACACGGGGTGCTAGAAATCTCAGTAAGACAAGGGGTCCTCAAGGATCTTCCACCCCAATCTCACTTACATGTGCAATATAAGTTCAAAAAGCATTTATATCATTATCAGTTCCAAAACTATGTAGTGCAACAGATATCTATGGCATGTGTGTAATCACTATCTACTGGCCAGAGAAATGTAGGAATACGTTTATTCCCTACATGTAGTACAAGGAACACCGCTTGCACCTCACCCACAACCTCACCCTCTTGTATGTTCTACATACTCAGGCTTACCGTATAGGTGGAACACCTCCATGCATATCAACAAGGCACTAACATACAATAGCTCAACAGCATTTCCAAAACATCAAAAGCATGTAACACAACATGCATATACCATATCCCCATGGGACATGGTGGAACCACAACATGGCTAAACCGAGGACACGAAAGCTTACCTCTAAGCTAGCTATCTAATGCCACAAGCTCAAAGTCCAATCACAGCAGATCACAATCTGATATGAACCAAATATAAATCAATAACATGTACCACATGCATACAAAATAAAGACAACGCCTTTTCATTATGTTTTCAAGTCTTAAAGCTTCTATCAAAGCCACAAGCCCTTAATCCCATGATTCTGGCTTAGACTAATACATACAGAAGTTCAACTTCATCAAACTAGGGTCTACAAACTCCCAATAGCCTATTGTACACACAACATAGCTACTTTTCTGTGAAATCCCAGAATATCCGGATATTCCTCGGGACCATATCCGGATATCTCACTGTCCATATCCGGATGTGCAATATCCGGATATACAGATTCACATATCCGGATATCAAATATCCGGATATCCCAAAACTACATATCTGGATATCCAATATCTCGATATCCCAAAACTACATATCCGGATATCCAATATCCGGATATCTGTTCGACAAATATCCGGATATTTCACGACAGAAAGCAGTTTCTGCATTTTCGTGAAGATATCCCTTAAAGGTTCCCTTTTTACCGATTTTAAACACCTAATCATGCATTTCTAGGCGAGTTCAACATTACCCAACAACAAGTTATCATCTTTTAGTCATTAGATGCATCAAGGTACCATTTTTAAGCCTTAAAACTCAAGTTAAAGGTTGGTACAACATACCAAGGTTCAAAACTTAGAATGGAGATGCTCTTGGAGCTCAACACAGCCCCTCACGTCTGACTCAAGGAAGATGCACGAAAATGGCTTCACAAAGGTTGGTTCTTTAACACAAAGGTCACCACTTAGACCTCCAAAAACCAAAACCAAGCTTCTCTCAACCCAAAATCTCAAGTCAGCAACCAAACCTCCCTCACACAGACTTCACAACTCAAAAACAACACCACAAACCCCTTCCCAAAGGTGACTCTCCCTCACACAAGTGTTTAAGAAGAAGAAACCACAAAGAACAAGGAAGAAATGGCTCCAAGACTCTCAAGGAAGAAGAACACAGCAATGGAACAGTGCCAAGGTGCACTTAGCCACCAAGTCACGTATAGAATTCTGATCCTAGGGTTTTGTGCCCATAATGGGAGTATTTATAGCCTAAACACACTTAAACACACAGTATTAACTTTAATTTTCACGCTTAGCATTTTAATCCCAAACTTTGGATTATGAAACTAAATAATTTTCTAAGATTTATCATATTTTTCTTTTATTTTTCTGAGCACCTTTCCGGTACGCGCTTTTCAAAGCCAGTACCGGTTTCTAGCACCAGTTCTCATTATTTGGACTTGAAACTCGTTTTACAAGTCCTACATATTATTCTAGTAATTATCATGCACTTACTTTAATTTTCCGGGATACTTTTTCGGTACGCATTTATACCGACTAGCAGAACCGGTATCTGTACTTTTCTTCCGAAAAGCGACTTTCAGCATTCTTAATTACTTATTATGCTTATTAAGCCTCATAAATAATTATTAGGGTCAATTATGGAATCGTTTCCTAATTTTGCATGATTAATTAATTAAATACCTTAATTAATGGTGCAGGTTCTTACAGGGGTAGTGTAGAACATGAATGCTTACGTTATTTCTGTAACTGGCAATTTCATCATCAGTGTTCTAGTATTCAAGGAATTGGAACTAGTACTCTGATGTAATCTTTAAAATCTTAGTGCTTAATGTATGTATTAAGAAGGGAATTACCAAGGGATTGGGGTTCTTGATTAATGATCAACCAAGGTAGTAAGGGATTACATCTTGGTGATAATAAAAAGGTTGATTGACATCACATGGAAGATAATTCATAATGGGATTGATTCTTACATAAGTTTATGGTTGAGGAACATTGATTTCTTACTACTTGTTGTTAAATTATAATTTACATTTTAGTTATTTTATCAAGTCCATATACAGTTCAATTTCTGGTGACAATTATCAATGCATTCAAAGAATTCTTGTTTGATTCAACTTAATTATAAATGGTTAGTTGGTGTTTGAACACAAATCCTCGTGGGAACTATCTTTACTTATCATTTTATTACTTGTACGACTAGTACACTCGCTAAAGTCACAACAAATTTTTGGCTCCGTTGCCGGGGATTTGTTCTTCAACATTGACAGACACCATTGATATTTGAGATTGAATTTTTATTATTTTCAGCAATTTATATTTATGTGTGAAGTTTTGTTCAATTCCAATTCTGGTGTATGCGAGGTACTATTAATCCAAACTCTTTGTTGTTTGATCTAGAATTAGAAAAGACAATTAAGAAGAACAGAAAGGCAGCAAGACAAAGGAAGTTACAAGAAAAGGGTGAATCCAGTGTGACAAATCAGGAAGAGGTCATGGAAGAAAATCACAGGCCACCACCACAGAGGACATTAGGAGATTACATGACTCCCACTGTCATTCCACCGATTGGGAGTGTTATTCGACCCACTGTGGAGCCTAACAACTTTGAGTTGAAACCAACATTAGTACAACTGGTGCAGAAAGAACAGTTTGCTGGCACAAGTGCAGAAGATCCATATCTGCACATTGAGAATTTCTTACTTTTGAGCGATACGGTGAAGATCAATGGTGTGACTAGAGATGCTATCTTGTTAAGATTGTTCACTCATTCACTGAAGGATGATGCAAGAAGATGGTTATAATCATTACCTCAAGGAAGTATCACAACTTGGGATGATCTGCAGACTAAGATTTTAGCTTGGTTCTTTTCAGCATCAAAAAGGGCGAAGTTGAAGGATGAGATTACAGAGTTCAAACAAAAAGAATCAGAGTCTATCTATGAAGCTTGGGAGAGGTTCAAAACACTCTTGAGGAAATGTCCACAACATGGAATCGAAGTGTGGAATCAAGCGGAAATATTTCTCCAAGGGTTGACAACCAACACAAGGACATTGGTGAATGCCACAACTGGTGGTTCATTAACAACCAAGACTCTTCAGGAAGCCCTTGACATATTTGAATCTCTAGCATCTCAAGAATTTGACAATGCTCCAGTAAATGACAGAAGAACGAGAATTATAAAACTTGATGGTTATGATGCTTTGTTAGCCAAGAATGATCAGATGATGCAAATGCAAAAACAACAACAACAGTTGGATGCTCTCACTAAGCAGCTATCTTCTCAAAAGGTTGCTTCTGTAGACACTAATCCTATGTGTGCAAATTGTTGGAAATGCCATGTTACAGAAGATTGTGATTATGGGAGATCTGCAGAACAAGCAGAAGTGAATGGGGTATGGTATAATCAGAAGAACCAGAACAACCAGGGGCAAAATTTGTATGTTCCGCCATGGGAGAATAGAAATCAACACCCAGGGTTCGGTTATAGTTCTAATCATCAGTTGAATCCTCCACTGCATCCTCCACCACATTCTTCACAACAAGGTGATACCTCTGCATGGGAGAAAGCTTTTACCCAGTTATCTAAGATGACTACAGATTTTATTCAGGATTCAAATTCTTTCAGAGAAGAAGAAACTTCTGCATTCATGCAAGAGACAAAAACATCATTTAGGAACCAGGAAGCATCTATCCAGAATTTAGAGACTCAAATTGGTCAGTTGTCCAGACAGATATCCGAGAGACCACAGGGGAAGTTCCCAATTGATACAATGGTGAATCCAAAAGAGCATTGCAAATCCATTATTACAAGAAGTGGGCTTGTGCTTGAACCGGTTAAAAAGAAAGTGGAAGAAAAGAAAGAGGAGGAATAAGTTGTTGTTGAAGATGATGTAGTCAAAAATGATGAAAAAGAACAAGTTAAGGAAGATAAGAAAGAAGATGAAGTACTTGTTGAAAATAATTCTTCACCCAAGAAGTTGATGAAGTGGGAGAAGAAGAAAATGGCTGACAAGCAAGACCAACCAATTAATCTATCTCCACATGCCAAAGTTCCTTATCCTCAGAGGTTGAAGCAAGAAATTCGGAAACAGCATTATGCAAGGTTTCTGGATATTTTCAAGAAACTACAGATCAACATTCCATTTGCTGAAGCCTTGGAAAATATGCCCCACTATGCAAAATTTATGAAGGATCTTTTGTCTAAGAAAAGGAAGTTAAAAGATGGTGAGACAGTGGCTTTAACGGAGGAATGTAGCGCCCTTATTCAAAATAAGCTTCCTCCAAATTTAAAGGACCCAGGTAGTTTCAGCATTCTGATTGCTATTGGAGATGTGGAAGTAAGAAAAGCACTTTATGACTTGGGGGCCAGTATAAATTTGATGCCATTATCTGTCTGCAGAGCTTTGGGGATTAACAAGTTGAAAACCACTAATGTTATCCTACATCTAGCAGATAGATCAATTAAGAGACCAGAAAGGGTGGTAGAAGATGTTCTGGTCAAGGTGGATAAATTCATTTTCCCTGTAAATTTTGTAATACTAGATATGGAAGAGGAGGATACTGAAAGTCCTCTACTCCTAGGGAGACCATTCTTAGCCACTGCAAGATCCCTGATTGATGTTGAACAAGCAAAGTTGATGTTAAGGGTGAATGAAGAAACAATCACCATTGATGTGTTTGAAGCTATTAAACATCCTATTGATGTGGAGGATTGTTTCAGAGTAGAAGTCATACAGGAGGCTGTGGAAGAAGTGATAGAAGAGGAAAACTCTTCACTTGAGGAAGACAAATTCAAGGAGGAAACAAGTGTGGAATACTTTGCAGAAGAAAGGAAAGTAGAAGAGTTAAAAATGAAAGTATATGATATTCCTAAGGGAGCACCCAAGGTGGAACTTAAAGAACTTCCATCAAATCTCCAGTATGTGTTTCTTGGAGATGATCAAACATACCCAGCCATTATTAATGCATTATTGTCTGAAGGGGAGGAAGTAAAGTTGATTGAAGTTCTTAAAAAGAACAAGACAGCCATGTGATGGTTATTTTCAGACCTCAAGGGTATCAACCCTTCTTTATGCACTCATAAAATATTGATGGAAGAGGAGGTTAAACCAGTGAGGCAACCACAGAGAAGACTCAATCCTACTATGAAGGAGGTAGTGAGGAAGGAAGTGGTGAAGTTGCTTGATGCTGGAATGATCTATCCTATTTCAGACAGTGCTTGGGTGATTCCAGTGCAGACAGTGCCCAAGAAAGGAGGAATGACTGTTGTGAGGAATGAGAATAATGAATTAATTCCCACAAGAACAGTCACTGGCTGGAGAATGTGCATAGATTACCGGAGACTCAACTTAGCAACCCGGAAGGATCATTTCCTTATTCCATTCCTAGACCAAATGCTAGAGAGATTGGCAAGACATGCTTTATACTGCTTTTTATATGGATACTCAGGTTACAACCAGATAGATGTGGCTCCAGAAGATTAGGAGAAAACTGCATTCACTTGCCCATATGGAATCTTTGCATATCGAAGGATGCCTTTCGGCTTATGCAATGCACCAGCGACTTTTCAAAGGTGCATGCTTTCCATATTCTCTGACATGGTAGAAAAATGCATTGAAATTTTTATGGATGATATTTCTGTATTTGGTCCTACTTTTGATGCCTGTCTATAAAATTTACATAGTGTTGTCCTGTCTAGAAAATTTGGTCCTAATCTTGTATTGAATTGGGAAAAGTGTCACTTCATGGTGACAGAAGGTATTGTTTTGGGACACAAGGTGTCTAGAAGAGGAATTGAAGTGGATAAAGCCAAAATCTCTGTTATTGAGAAACTTCCCCCTCCCATAAATGTCAAAGGTGTGAGAAGTTTTCTTGGTCATGCCAATTTTTATAGACGCTTTATAAAAGATTTTTCAAAGATTGCAAAACCTTTATGCAAGTTGTTAGGGAAGGAACAAGAGTTTGTGTTCACTGATGACTGCCTGCATGCATTTAATATTTTGAAAGAAAAATTGATCATTGCACCAATAATCATGGCACCTGATTTTTCACTACCTTCTGAGCTGATGTGTGATGCAAGTGATTATGTTGTGGGAGTGGTACTAGGCCAAAGAAAAGACAAATTATTGCATGTCATTTACTATGCCAGTAAAATTCTTAATGATGCACAAAAGAATTATGCTACTAATGAAGAGGAATTATTGGCTATTGTGTATGCATTTGACAAATTTAGGTCATACCTGCTAGGTTCAAAGGTGATTGTTTACACTGACCTTGCAGCTTTAAAGTATTTGTTAACCAAGCAGGATGCTAAGCCCAGGTTACTCCGATGGATGTTACTCCTACAAGAGTTTGAAGTGGAAATCAAAGATAAAAAGGGAGTTGAAAACTTGCTGGCTGATCACTTATCCAGGATAACAGAGAAAAATCTACAAGAAGGACCGGAAGTAGTGATTCAAGAAGAGTTCCCTGATGAGTACATACTGGCCATAAGTACTGTTTCCAAGTTGGTGCAGGATCACGTCTTGACAATTAATACTCCACCATGGTTTGCAGATTTTGCAAATTACAAGGCGGCTGGAGCAATGCCTAAAGATTTCACATGGCAACAAAGAAACAAATTTCTACATTATGTAAGGAGATATATTTGGGATGAACCATACCTCTTCTACAGGTGTTCAGATGGGGTAATCCGAAGATGTATTCCAGAGGAGGAACAACAAGATGTCTTATGGCACTGTCATGGTTCAGCCTATGGTGGACACTTCGCAGGTGAAAGAACTGCAGCAAAAGTTTTGATGAGTGGTTTCTATTGGCCAACATTGTACAAGGATGCAAGGAAGTATGTGGAAGCATGTGACAACTGTATGAGGACTGGTAATATCTCCAGGAGACATGAAATGCCATTGAACAATATACTGGAGGTGGAAATCTTTGATGTTTGGGGTATGGATTTCGTGGGAACCTTTCCCTCTTCCTACTCCAATAAGTACATCCTGGTGGCAGTGGATTATGTATCAAAATGGGTTGAAGCCATAGCCACACAAACTAATGATTCTCGGGTTGTGATCGCATTCCTGAAAAAGAATATCTTTGTGCGATTTGGAGTCCCGAGAGCCATAATCAGTGATGGGGGAGCACATTTTGACAACCGGTTGGTAGAAGTTGCTCTTGCAAAATATGGAGTCAGGCATAAGATATGTACCCCGTACCATACACAGGCTTGTGGTCAGGTTGAGATTTATAACAGAGAACTTAAGCGTATAATGGAAAAGATTGTTGGAAATGCTAGGACTCAATGGTCTAAGAAACTTGATGACACCTTATGAGCTTACCGTACAGCATTCAAGACTCCTATTGGAATGTCTCAATTCCAATTGTTATTTGGGAAAGCATGTCATTTACCAGTAGGGTTGGAACATAGAGCATTGTGGGCTTCAAGTTTTTAAACTTTGATTCCAAAGCAGCAAGTGAGAAAAGGTTACTTCAATTGGATGAACTGGATGAATTCCGTCTTTCTGCATATGAAAGTGCAAGCTTATACAAAGAAAAGACCAAGCTATGGCATGACAGGAAGATCACACCCAGGGATTTCAAGGTGGGCAACCAAGTTCTGCTGTTCAATTCTAGGTTGAAGTTATTTTCAGGAAAGTTAAAGTCCAGATGGTCTGGACCATTTGTGGTGAAGGATATTAAGTCTTATGGAGCGGTGGAAATTAGTCCCTTGGATTCTGACCGAAGCTTTACCGTCAATGGTCAGAGGTTGAAGTTGTACATTGGTAGTGCTGTAGACAGGCAACTTCTTACAGTTGCCTTGATGGAGGTAAGTTAAGTGAAGAACGTCAGGCTCGTGACGTTAAACACGCGCTAAGTGGGAGGCAACCCACTATATCAGGTAAGTAATATATAATTCATATTAATAATATTAAAAAAAAAATTAAAATTTTTTGGGAAATTTGACAAGTGATGGGTGCTAAAACGTTCCTTCTTGGACGTTTTAGCGGTTCAGAGATGCATCACAATGCAAAACTCTGGCCCATAGCGCTAAAACGTCTGTTTGACCGTTTTAGCATTCCACAAGGGCATCATCGTGCAAACATTCTGGTTAAGCGCGCTAAAACTTTCAGTTTTGACCATTTTAGCGCGCTGATGCACACAACCATGTGCACATTTTTCTGGACCTCGGCGCTAAAATGTTTTGTTTGAACGTTTTAGCATCGCGTCACTTATTTGAGTTACACGGTTATTCATTCACTTTTTCCTCACTCTCTCATTCCCTCTTCTATTTCCAAAAAAAAAAAATTTCGTACTCTTCTCCCTCTCTTCTACATTCATCGGCTATATTCTCATCAAGGTATGTTCAACTTTCCATTACTCATGTTGTAACATCATCGATTGTACATGCTTTGTATGTTGTAATATCATTTGTTTTCATATGTTTTGGATGGTGTGATCTTTGGATTATGATTTTCATGTTTTAATTGTAAATAATTGGGTAATGTTGTATGTCCATGATTGTTGTTGGGTACTTATGGTTTTAATTATTTGGGATGAAAGGAATCCCAAATATTTTATACACATTATTCATTGCCCACTCGCACATCAAGTGTTTGTGGTATTGCCTGACTCAGAAAAGCCGAAGCGCTAAAACGCTTACCAGCCAACGTTTTAGCGCTCCACCATTTTGTACCACGAAATTGCCAGGACGCTAAAACGCTCCCTGTAAACGTTGTAGCGCCCTGGCCCTGATACATGCATGATTTTAGGTTGCTAGTCTGGCATTGTGGGGGTTGTTTTTCCTTCACATTTTGGATCCCTCTCAACTAATTCTTTCAAATTTAAATCTGGGAATTGTGATCCATTATCTCTCAAA